CTTGAGAGTCACTGTAACCCCGTTGCAAAAAAAAAAAATCTGTTTCTGGCATCTCTTTAAGATTTGCTTAAAATGGGACACGGCATTGTCATTGAACATGTTGCAGACATGGCTTGCAACTTCCCGTACGTCCTGGCGAGGTCAACCACATGTATATCATTTTCATACTTTATTACAAGTTTTTTCTTGAATTCTATCGTGTTTCTCGCCTTACTTATCAAAGGGCTGGCACTCGGAACTTTCTTTGGCCCCATGGTGGCTTATTTAGCAGTCGCATTCAATAAACAAGCACAAAAAACAATCAATTATTACGAAATGTTTCGTATGAATGTGCAGGGTAATGTTCACTTGACAAGAAACAAAGCCAGACTGACTCAGAATGCATGCGTGGGATGCTTTGTGTGGGCGTGGGCACATGGACACGTTTGGTATGGCGGACAAAAACCAAGGTGACCAACAAAAACTGGAACAATATTTTGATGAAAAAAGTCATTGAAAACGAAATTCGACGAAAACCAGGGCAAACTAAAACCAAGATTCCACTGTAATGAAATCTGTGAAATATTTAAAGAAACAAAGTTAAGTCATAATCGGATTTTGTCATATGAAAATATCAGGTCCATAAGCGAGATGCAGTCTTGAATGTAATTCCTAATTTCCTGCTTTTTTTATGAGAATGTAATTGAGGCATCATGAAAGTATTTGTAATTTCATTCTGTTTCATGATGGTCAGATGTCATATTAAGATATTGTACCATAGAATGGATTTTGTGCTATTGTTTGTGTAAGTGGTGATTTCTTTTTAAGTGCACAAAAGATTCATGAGTAAAATATCACTGTAATCAGCTATTCTTAATTTTATTCAAGTTTGTACAGGAAACTTTGAAAGATGTGAACCTTAAGATTCAGAAACAGTTGAATCTCTGCTGCACAGTATTCCTTGTACTAGTAGTAACATGTCTGTGCTGGAATACAAACCAGAGTGCCCTTTAGCATTAGTAAGACAAACTACATAAAAGTAATGTTTAGTGCTATGGTACAGCATTATAAGTAAAGTTGAATCACTGGTTGACCAGTAGTATTAAAGCCTGTTCATTATCAATGAACTGATGGCTTTAAAGTAAATTCAAACATTGTTGGTGTTTGAGACAGTATAAGTTTACTTGAGATTCATAGCTTCCCTCCTAATGAATGCCTGTGTGTATTTAGTCCATTTGTAACTTTTGTATTTATGAAGACTGAGTGGTAGTTCCACCTCTGGAACTAAATGGAAAGGTTCTCTTATTTTAAGAGTGGATCATTAATCCATTGCCTGTGAGTGACAAAAATCTGTTTCTGATGTAATGACAGTTTTATAATTTAATTTGTGAAAAATGTTACCTACTTGGGTTATACAACACTGAAATTTTGACAAATGAGAAAGCATCTTTCTCATCTGAACCAAAGAAAATGCTGGACTTTTCACCCATGATCTGTTCTTGGGAGACAGTAGTCATTTAAGCACAATACGTACATGAAATCTTCCCGCCACAAAGGTGATCCAGCTTCAGGGGTGGAGTAACATTATTTTGCATTTTGTAACTATTATTGAAAAGTTTGTTACAAGGTAAATTACCCCGGGCCAAATGCCAAGAATTTTATGTGATTAACAAAGCTTTCAAAATAATTTTTTGTTTTTGGTTTTTGTAAGAACTGTACATCTTTTTAATGTGCAGTTCAGCATGCACCATCAAATTCTGCTGCATTCAGAAATAAAAACAATTGAATTTGTCATTCCAAGCTGATCATAGCATCTTCAAAAAGTTTGTTTATATACAGTATATTATAAAGTTAACATCTTTAATACCATTTTCCAGTGGTTTTGCACTGGCAGCCCACTGCCAAGAAGGTTAACAATCTGTTGCACCTGTATCATGAATTATTATCATTATTAATTATTATTATTGTTGTTTAGGGGCAGTGTAAGTTGTATTGTAAAGACAGTGACCCAGTCTGTGGTACCTAGACAATCAGGACCCTCCAACAATGGCTTGGAAAGCTAACTCATCATTGCTTAAGTCTCGGAGCATTATCATTTTAAGCTTTAACACCATTTTCTCTAGAAATTAAGTTTTATGTTTAAGATATTTCATATAGTATTTGTTTTGTGACACTTGCTTAGGGGTTTTAACTGCAATTATAAAGGCTTGGCATCTATAAATAATAATCTATACTGTGCTGCATTTCTTTGTTTATCTGTTACAGAAGAGCCTTCCAAATTACATATCATTTTCCTCTGTAAACAAAATGTGTGGAGTAACACACACATAATGAAACATCCAAATGTAATGAACACTTTGTCAATGGATTAAAGAAAACCCACATGTAGACAGAAACAATGTTTAAGAGACTATACTTCCTTCTCTGGAGATCTTCAGTAGTACAGAAAAGTAAACCCTAGGTTTATATAATGAATGAGAAGAATACCTGGGATCCATGTAGAGTAGCTTATATTCACCAACAACTTGATTGATCAGGCCAGCAACAAGGAGGACTGGTCTGGGACCAGGTCATAGGGGCAGTGACCTCCGGAAGCGACTCCAGATAATCTCCAGGGGTGCCAAAGGTAAATAGATTCCTGACATGATTTCAAAATGCACCATGAAGAAAAATATTCCTGGTCCAAACTTATTACCATGACCTGACCTTTGACTATCATTTTGTAATTACATACACCCCATGAAGTATATGTAAGCTAATCCACTTGGATCTCAGCTACTCAGCTCATTGACTAAACTTAGGGGTGATGTGTGTTGAAGGGAAAAGGGCCACTAATTTGATCACTATACAAACCTAGATTTAACTTCTTTGTACTGATAATGAAGAATGCAGACAAAAGATTGAAATAACCTGTTACTCTTTCACATTGTTTCTACACATGAGTTTTCCTGAATCCACATGTACATAAATATAAGCACGAATTCTGAGATTTATATTTAAACCTATGCTGAGCAGTGTAGGAGGGTTATTAACTGCATAACAGGTGATATGGACTTAGAGTAACTATTAATTAATGAAGCAGTTGCATTGTCAGAATGCAATAGCATACTATAATTTATATATGATTATGTATACAAGTCATCTTTCTATCTGACACAATCAAATAATATGATCACCTTTATTAAACGAAATGCAGCAGCAGATTACGAGTATATAAGGCCCTGAAGGTAATATATAATGTACATGCATTATATACAGGGAGTTCAAAAAGAAACATAACCCATGGAGAATGCATACTGTAATAGTTTTGAAATATGACAAATTGAAGAGACACTTATGCAACATGTGGGAATCTTGATTAAGGAAACATTTCACCACACAGTGGCTTCATCAGTCCAGTACAAAGCAGAAAAGGGTAAGGAGAGAAGGAGGAGTCTGAGGTAATCAGTTCCTCAGCCTGGAATCTGTGTTCAGTCCATCACTCTTGTAGAAAGTACAGCATATTGCCGGAGAAGTGGCTTATATACTGTACTCGGGCAAGTCGAAGCAGGAGGTGGGATCACAGTGGAACCATCCACTAGTGTAAGTAGGTCTTTGTCCAGTGGCTGGACAAGTATTGAAGAATTCCTTGTATCAAGATCCCACGATGTTGCAATGTGACAGATGTAATAAATGGTTTTGAAAACCGACAAGTTGAAGATTGAGACATCATGGGATCTTGATACAAGGAATTCTTCAATACTTGTCCAATCTCTGGACAAAGACCTACTTACACTAGTGGATGGTTCCACTGTGATCCTGCCTCAACTCGCCTGACTACAGTATAAAAGCCACTTCTCCAGCCATATGCTGTACTTTCTACAAAAGTGATAGACTAAACACAAAGATTCCAGGCTGAGGGACTGAGTACGTCAGACTCCTCCTCTCCTTACCCTTTTCTGCTTTGTATTGGACTGGTGAAGCCACTTGTGTGGCAAAACATTTCCTTAATAAAGATTCCCATATGTTGCACAAGTGTCACAATCTCCAGAATGCATACTGTATGATACTGTAACCCACTGTTTTTCTCTGTTGCAGTTATTATTAAGTACATTAATGGGGTTCACACTACAAGAATGAATATTCATTGTTGAAAGCTACATAATGGGTTTTTTCAATAACACCGTATTCAAATCACCTTCGTATATTTGATGAGCTCAAGAAGAACATTCAGCATATGGTAGATGGCATATTAAGATATTACAACAGCATTTCAGTAACATGATTTACTGAGTACTTACAAAAAAACCTTATAGGCCAACATATTCAACAGTTTTTGAGAGTTAGTTACTAATAAACTTGCTTTTTCCCTGGGTTGAATTTCATTTTTGAATGCCCTGTACTAAAAACTGTTTTATTGCTTGAATGATGCAACAAAATTACACTTACATTAATTTGAACATAATAACTTTTGTTTTGTACCAGTAAAGTGATTTTTGTATACAAGTTGGTGCCTTGGGGTTCCTCACACCTGGGACCCTGGAGCAACTGCCCCTATGTTAATCTGCCACTGGGGGAATGTTATGATCAAGCTTTTTGATTATCCAAAAACTTAAGTTTTTTGAAGCTTTATTTTAATTATTTATTTATTTTTTATTTGGGCATGATACATAGTTGTATCCAGTGGATGTAGACTCATGGTATTCTACATATTACTGATCATAAAATGTTTAGTAAATCTTTTAAAAATACTAATTAAATTGGTCACTCATTTTATCAAATTCTGATTAGAATCCTTTAATAATGTTTCATGTTTATTTTCATTGGCATTAAATGTTACATAAGAGATTGTTTTACTCACCCTAATGATATCTTGTCCTACCATGGAGGTGAGTGCACAAAAAAAAAAAAAAAATTCCCAGGTATTTCAACAGCAGATTTTCAAATGTTGTTTTAGTTGCCACATACCTGACACCATATAAATTATAATATTCATAGTGAAAAATACATACAAAAAATGCTGATTTAGAAAAACACACAAGCAAACACTAGGATATATTTATTAGAAAACGTTTCAGTCCTGAGACCTTGATCACTTCTAACATACAGAGGTTAAAAGACAGTATATATAGGTGGAGAGGTGCGAGTGATGCATGGTGACCTAAAGAATGACATATTGGGATGAGGACGGGTAGACGATGAGATTGTGCGACTCCTGTGTTGCTGGTGCTTTGTAAAGCACCACCTACCCACCAAGGACACAAAGTATACATGATTGCTCTTTTCCTCATTCAACTATGAAAACACTGTATAAAATAGTGGTGGTGTTAATTTGGATTTAACAATAACATTCATTGGAGAAATTTGAATGCAGTAAGAATTTATTCTGTATACAACTCGTCAAACTTTACATTTTAAATGAAAACAGCCTCCCAGCCTACATAAGGGGGATAGCCAGGGGTCTATTGGTAATCTTTAAGGCGGCACTGGACAGGCACCTAAAGTCAGTACCTGACCAACCGGGCTGTGGTTCGTACGTCAGCTTGCGTGCGGCCAGTAGTAACAGCCTGGTTGATCAGACCCTGATCCACCATGAGGCCTGGTCTCAGACCAAGCTGCGGGGGTGTTGACCCCCGAAACCCTCTCCGGGTAAACTCCAGGTACACATTCTGAAGAAAAGCCAGTAATCCAGACTCATACATAATGATAATTACATGTTCCTGTGCTTCTAACAGTCATATGCCTACCTTCTTGATTAATCTTAATAAAGTTATCACCATTTACTGAACTTTTGAGTATTCTTTATATTAATTTACTGAATATTCTCTTCAAATATTTTATACAGTTGTATATAAATTAAGCATTCATAGAGAGAGATTTTAAGAATCTGGTTGTCTAGTGACCTACTTACTCCTGCTAGTTGGGAGACTTTAGTCTGTGGAAGTGCTACTTGTGTCCCAGAGAGCAAACTAAAAATCTACAAAGTTTACTACAGGAGGGCCCTGCATATACAGTAGGTTAGGTTCCAGGTTACTGCCATAAAGCAAAAATTGCTGTAAAGTGAATCATAGCCTTTTTTTTTTTTAAATGCATATAAAAGTCTGAAAACTCATTTACACTATCATATATTAAGTGAGCAATAGAGGTAGGCCTAAAAAATGCATATACATAAACACTACTTACCTTAAAATATTTTCATCCTTAGCTTATAGCAAGTGGTGAATATATTTAGTGTAGGAAGTCTGAATTAATGGAGAATAGGTATAAATGAAAGCCTGTGTATTAGAGAAATGCCGTAAAGTGAAGTGCTGTAAAGCAAGGCTCGCCTGTACTCTAATTTCACAAGTTATTTAATTATTCTAGCATTATGAAACATTTTACTACTATACGGGTTTCATGGCATTATGAAAGAAATACTACGATTTTTCAACAGTATTAAAAAAAAAAAAAAAAAAGCATTATATAAGCTTGTACATGTATTATAAAAAAATTTACAGTATACATGTACTGTATATGTACTCAAAATATATACACAATATAATCATAATTGCTTTACTGCTGTCTCCTCTTCTTTTTCAGTTCTTCTTCCTCCATAAGTTGTTTGACCACAGGTGGAGGGAGCCTCTTTCCCTTCCAGAACATAGGGGTAGGTTTCTCTTTGATTTTCCGCAGTACATCTGCCACATAAGTTGCTGCATCAAAGGCTTCATATTCACGAACTTTTGCCATCTGCGTAGCCTGTAAAGACACATGTTTAGATTAGCACATGCCTGCAATACATACATTAATTTAACTATTTTAACATTTGATGGCAGAACCTTTGTAATGTGTATTGACACATTTATTTTAAACCCACTGGCCATCGTTCATGAAGGAGTGGGCCCAAAAATGAGGAAATACTCACCAACACTCATTCAATTACTGCCCTGTCAGAAGTGTGCTGACATCATAGTTCAGATGACCCTTTGAATTGAAATGTCCTCACCCCTCCTTTAGAGTGCAGGCACTGTACATTCCACCTCCACAACTCGAGTCAGGCTAATCAGTTTTCCCCCCTCAAGGAAGGTTCCTTGATGTTGGTGAGGGGCTCTTGATTTAGGGAATTGGATCTGTGCTCCAGTTCCCCAAATTAAGCCTGAATGCCTTCCACATCCCCCCCCAGGCGCTGTATAATCCTCCGGGTTTAGCGCTTCCCCCTTGATTATAATAATATTATTATTATTATAATCAAAAAGAAGCGCTAAGCCACAAGGACTATACAGCACTGCAGGCAGGAAGAAGGGCGAGGGCATCAGGTGCAAAAGGGAAATGGATGAGTAATAGGTTACGGATAACAGCAGGGCAGTGGATGGTGAAAGGGTAAAGGGCAGCAAGAGACTGAACTAGAAAGGGCTGAGGGGAGTCGAAAAGTATCATCAGAGTTTTGGAGTAAATCAGTCGTTGTCAAGAAGTAAAATGAGAGAGTCAGGATTAAAGGAGGTCCATCAGCAAGAAGGGAAGGTAAAGAGAGATAGTAGAACGAAGACGGCTTTGGGAGGTAAATTCTGCGTGCTCGTTGATAGAGAGGGCAGTCTAACAGAATGTGGCTAATCGATACGGGAACTTGACACTGCTCTCAGGAGGAACAGGGGGCCTCTCCATGAGATACCCATGAGTAAGACGAGTGTGACCAATGCGAAGGCGGGAGAGAGTGGTCTCCCAACCTCGGCACTGATAACAAGAAGACGGCCAGTAACCTATGCTCGGTTTAATAGAATGAAGTTTGTTACCGAGCAGAGTTGACCAACATTGTTGCCAACGGGTGCAAAGGTGGGTAGCTATTGCAGCAAAATAGTCCAGAAATGGAACACCTCGATAGGAAATTGGTAGGTCATGTACTGCTGACCGCGCAGCAGTGTCTGCCTGTTCATTGCCCTGTACATTGACATGACTAGGGACCCAACAAAAAACAATATCTTTATGGTTAGGTTAGGTAAGGTTCGTCAGGAAACAGGACAAATGTTTCCTGACGCGGGTCTTTATGTTTGGTAGAGATACGGCGTAGCCAAAGTTGGATACGGAGAACAAGGGGATGAGATGTATCAAATTTTCGTATAGCCTGTAGAGCACTAAGGGAGTCTGAGACTACTACAAATGATGACACAAGCATAGATGCGATACGAATAAGTGCTGCAAGAATGGCATACAGTTCAGCAGTAAAAATGCTAGCTGAAGATAGTAAATGTCCCCGCACGACGCTGTCCGGAAACACTGCTGCGAATCCGACGCCGTCTGAAGACTTAGAGCCATCTGTGTACACAGCGGTGGCATGAGAATGGAGTGGAAGTGATCAAGAAAAAGAGAGCAGGAAGCCACCGTAGGCAGTTGAGCTTTCGAGCAAGGGAGTGAGAAAGAACAGACCCGAACAGCTGGAACTTCCCAGGGGGGTAGGGAAAAGTGATATGCTACATGAACATATAAAGGTGGTAACTGAAGGGAAGACAAGAGTGAATGTAGGCGAAGAGAAAAGGGACAGAGCAAACAGGGGCGGCAAAACGAATAAGAATGTCTACTAATATCGGTGACCTTTCTATAAATGGAAGGATTGTGTGATCTTTGAAGCGTACATAGTAGTGAAGGCAATGGCATCACGGCGATCAGACAAGGAGGGAAAACATTCGCTTCTGTATAGAGGCTCTCAACGGGGGAAGAGCGAAAAGCACCAAGGCACAAACGTAATCCTTGGTGATGGATAGAGTTAAGGCTAGAGAGAGTAGCAGGAGAGGCCGCGGGAAAAAATCTGGTCACCATAATCGAGTTTCGATAAAACGAGGGCTGAATGTAGGCGAAGCAGAGTTCGACGATCAGCTCCCCAGGAAAGATGAAACAAGGGTTTTAAGAAGGTTTAGTGGCTGTGACAAGTTGCCTTCAGAGAGGTTATGTGAGGTTTCCAGGATAACCGACGGTCAAAGAGAAGGCCTAGAAACCTGACTATCACGTTCGGGGATACGGGAGCCATAGAGATACAAAGGATGATGGGAGATAACAGAGCGTCTAGTGAAAGTAATTTGGTGAGTTTTGGTACTTGAAAATTTAAACCCATGCGTGGTGGCCCAAGTGGAAACACGGTCGACCGCATGCTGGAGAGAAACTGCAATGACAGTCAGCGCCTGCACAAGCAATAGCGAAGTCATCAACATAGAGTGATGACCAAATATTGGGTGGAAGAACAGAGGCCAAAACATTTTTAGCAAGGAGAAAAAGTGTTGTGCTTAGAACACATCCCTGAGGGACACCTTCAGCTTGGACGAAGTCCGGGGAAAGAACATTATTGACTCGAACACAGAAATGTCTGTCAGTTAAAAGTTCTTAAGGAAAGGATGGTAGATTGCCTCGGAGGGCCCAAGGAATGGGCCTGTGGCCAAAATATTATACCTCCAAGATGTGTCATATGCCTTCTCAAGGGCAAAAAATATGGCAATAACTGAGTGATTATTCGCAAAGGCATTACGAACATCGTATCCAAGCGTAGTAAGGGGTCTATGGTAGAACGACCCCTTTCGAAAGCCATATTGACTAGCGGAGAGAAATGTTGTGGTCTCTAAATACCACATTAAACGTCGATTTACAAGACGTTCCATCACTTTGCAAACTGCACTAGTAAGAGCGATGGGCGATAGTGGGAGGCATCATGTCCTGTAGTACCCGGTTTGCCCGGGAAAGGGAGAACAATGGCAGATTTCCACAGCTGGGGAAAAAACTCCTTGTGCCCAAATAAGATTGAAGAGGGGTAAGAGGACTACAAGGGCTGACTGATGTAAATGTTGTAACATACGAATATGAATGTCGTCAGGCCCAGCTGCCAATGATCGGCAACTGAGAGCGTTGCCTCCAGTTCTTGAAGTGTAAAAGGCACATTATACTGTTCTTCTCTGAGAGAAGAAAAGTCCCAAAGGGGACTAACTCTCTGGCAGACTTTGAGGAAAGAAACGAGGGGCATAGTGGAGCCCTCGGGAAAAACGGACCAGATGTGTGCCAAGTTCAATGGCAAAGTCGAGAGGGTTTGCTACATCAACACCAGCGACCCGCAGAACAGGAGCCGGGTCAGGGGAGTAAATTTTCCACTCAATTTCCTCACTTTTTTCCAGACTGCACTCATAGAAGAAGCAGAGGTGATGGTGGAAACATATCTCGCCAACAAGTGCGTTTAGCTTCACGGATGACACGGCGAGCGATCGCACGCTTTGCTTAAAAACAAGAAGCCTCTCAGCGGTTCTATTGTACCGGTTCCTGCCCCATGCAGCACGTTTCAAACGTTCTGCACGAGCACAAGCGGAGACCACCAAGGGACCACTTCTGAGAATGCCTGCCTGAGGTTTGGGGTATGAATGAGAAGCTGCGGTATAAACTGACGTCGAGAAGATGTGTAGGAGCTCATCAATGGGATGAAGAAGGAACCTCACTAAAAGCAGTGAGATGTGAGTAAAAAATCCCAATTTGCCCATCAAATTGCCAGCGAGGGCTACGGAAAGGTGGGGAATAGGAAGGAGAAGTAAGAATGATCGGAAAATGATCGCTGTCATGTAAGTCTGGTTTAAACAGACAGGTGAAGTCTAGTGCAGTGGAGGAAGAGCAGACTGATAGATTTAATGCAAGAGAGAGTATGAGTACGAGGATCAAAATGGGTGGGAGTACCCCTATTTAAAAACTGGAGGGGGTGAGAGGCGAGAAAAGCCTCCAACTGAATGCCACGTGAGTCACAATGAGACCCCCCCCCGAGGAAATGGTGGGCATTAAAATCACCCAAGTAACAGAAGTGGTGGTGGTGGTAAGGATGAAACAAGAAAGGCAAAGTCTGGGATAGAAAATGCTCGAGAAGGAGAGAGATATAAAGAACATATTGTAAACCCCTTATTCAAGTGGATATGGGCTGCAGTGTAATGCAGTGAGGTATGGACAAAAAAGTTGACAGTACGGAATATCATTGGGTAGAAGAAGGGCAAATTTCATTAAAGGTCCCATCTGAGAAAGGATCCGAAGAATACAATAAATTATAGCCTGAGATAGGTTGGAAAACAGCCGAGTGTAATTTTGGTTCTTGTAAGCAACACCAACAGGGGAAAACCTGGAAAGCAACAAACTGAAGCTCACCCCCATTTCCCGAGGCCACGGATATTCCACTGTAAATAGGCCCTGATTGGCGATGAAGAAAATATCAGGAATCTGTAGGGAAAGGCACCTACGGACTAGAGGGGTTAGAAAAATCAACGTGTGGTGGCATTGGAAGACGTTCAAGTAGCGAAGGAACGGAGCGTTTCGAAGAATGGGGTTGTGAAGATGGAGGAGAGGGAAGAGAGGAACAGAAGTGAATCAGTGTCCATTGAAGGTTTAGTCTCTGCAATATTATTCTGAAATGGCTTCAAGTGTTTCTGAATTCAAAGAGTATGGGAGACCATATTGGAGATAAAGGAGGAGGTGAGTAAAGATTGGGACGTAATGGACTGTACCAAAGTAAGGGGGGGGGAAGAGTGTAAGGGACGGAGATGAAGTGTGGGGGGGGACAGAAGAGCAGAAACCTGGGAGGTGGCAGAAGAGGGAGAAACTTGGGAGGGGACGGGGGTGGAAGGCATAGGACGAGGAGGAGGGTGAATCTCCACACTTGTAATAGAGCCAGAGAGAGGGGAAAAACTAGGTACAGAGACTGGAAAGGTAAAGTGTGGAGGTGGAAGAAGGGAAGGAAGGGGCAAAGAAGATTTTAGCAATGTGGATTTTTTTGGACTTTTGAGTAGAGGGGCGATTGGTATTAGGTGTCGTACGAGGTCTTGTCGATACTGGGGGCTTTTGAGGAAGGACCGAAGATGTGAGAACAGATTGGTTGTAGTCGGGGCGTCAAGCCAAGGACAGTAAAGGATTAGATGCCGTAGTGGCTATGGGAGGGGTAACAACAGAGGAGGCTGCAGAAGATGGTACCCCAGAAGTGGGGGGATGTTTGGAAACACGAGAATAAGAAACACGAGGTAGTCTCCCTTGGAGGTGGAGATGAGTAACTGCCATAGCATAAGGGAGACCTTCTGCCTCTTTTAGGCAACGGATTTTACGTTCATTTAAGTATACCTGGCAACGGCGGGAGTACGAAGGGTGAGATTCATTACAATTAAGGCAAGATGGAGGTTGACTGCAAGATGTATTAGAATGGTCATCGGCACCACAGACTGGGCATTCGGCCATAGATCGCAATATTTCGTGGGTGACCAAAACGCCAGCAATTTCTACATTGTTGCGGTGTAGGTATCACCTTTCGAACTTGTAACCGAAAGTCCCGCGACATATACAGAGGGTGGGAGTTCTCGGCTGTCAAAAGTTAAACGAGCCACATTGCAAGGGTAACGTCTCCCCCCCCAGGCAGGGAAAGGGCATAAGTGTCTACTTTGAGGATTGGGAGATCCTGGAGTTCCAGCTGTTCAAAATGTCATTGCCACATGACTGGAAATTCTGTTGGACTATGGTATGGGGCAGAATGACAGTTTCCACTAAAAGAATTGAGAGAAAGATGTTTTTCAATAGTGATAGGAGTAGTATCGATATTCGAAAGGAGAGAAAGATCATGAGCTTGGGTAGCATTCTGGACAGTGACGATGCGCATACCGCTCTTGATAGCATGAAATGAAATATCTCTACCAACATGACGCAGGGGCACTTTGCCAATACTATGGTCAGAAAGGTAGGAGAAGAAGGGTCGGTCTTAAAGTAAAGAATTTAGTCACTGTGTGGTCCGAAACCCAGCGTGGAGAGGGGGTGCTTGACGTGTCGTCTTTTCCGAGTAGAATTTGGAAGGTAACGAAGGAGCACATCAGGAGATTGACGTTGCCGTTTAGGAGTAGGACCGGAGTTGGTCCGGCGTGAAATGGGCGGGCGATTCGAAAATTGCCGTACTGTAGAGGAGAAGCCGGAAGCATAGTCAAAGGAGAGCGGAGTTTTAACAAATCAAAGGAGTCAGTCGAAGCCCCGGTACCTGAAGCGGGTGAGGAAAAAAGCACCAGCAAGAGGTACAGGGGCATCAGGAGTGTCCGAAGAGTGGTCTAAACAAGGCAGGGTCAGAATGGGGTGCGGTATCAAGAAGGGCCCGGGGGTAGTGGGTTCATGGACTAGGGTGCCATGGGTTTGGTTACTCTTTTTCTTTTTGTTTTTAAGAAAAAAAAGAAAGAAGAAAAGAAAATAAAAATAAAAAAAATAGAATAAAAAAAGGGGGAGCGGGGAGGAATAGTTCCAGGAGGAATGAAAGGGCCGGAAAACTCCCCCCGCGCCCAAGAGGACCTCAACACCGCTAATAGCGCAGATGCAGCATGGAACCCGTGCCATACCCTACCCTTCATGCCAGTAAACCAGCAATCCCGGGGTAGCAACCTACATTCCAGCTACCGTGGACAAAAGAGAGGCGGCCGGATATCGCCACAAAGCAAAACTCCTTCGGCCACCACCCCCGAATCAAAGGGGGCCCGGATACACCCTTCGCCCCCCCAAGACACCCAAACAAAAACCCGGATACCGGGGGGGTGGACATCCCCCGGGAATCCAGTTCCCCCGGCAAACTACGCCACCGCCCAAACCTCAACGGGAAAGGGATGGACCCCCGGTGTCCTTTCCCCTATAGGAACTGGCGCCTGGGGAGAAATCCCCAAAAGGCCAAAAAAAGGAGGGCAAAAGGGAGGGGGAGGGGAGGAGGGGGGAATGGAAAAAGGGGAGGGGGATAGGGAGGGGAGAAAGGGGGGGGGAATTAGGTTCGGTTGAGGAAAACCAACAGGGCAATTCCTCAGACCCCAAAAGCCTCTTCACCACGCCAAGGAGCCCCCCCTTTAGGGATTATAAAAATATAAAAATCATTTTCCTGAATCCCTTCATAAATGTTTCCTTCTTACACCCAAAAAGCATGTCAAACATCTTATCTCCCCCAATTGATCTAAGCATTCATCCTGTTGGATGTTCAACCCTTGTACTGAAAACTTCCTTTGGTCCCCTCCTCCCTTTCCCTTCCCGGGCAACCCCTGCACCTTCCCTTCCCCCCCGAATTTTTGACCCCCTAGTAAACCCATTTTGTTCCCTCCTCTCTAAATATTGCAAACCCCCCAACAACCCTACAGGCCCTCTGAATTATTTGGGTAACGCCAACCATTTTTTAAATTTCCCACCATTTAAAACTCTGCAAAATATTCACACCACACATTGCTCACGACGTCTCCCCTGCCTCCCCTCTTGCTGCAAAATTTAAAACCCTGCCTCACCCCAATAAGGAGGTGCAATTACTCGGGCATTCTTTTTTGCCCCCATAGTAACTTTCATTCCACGATCCAGAACAATCACCTACCATTTTTTTTTATTCAAAGGTTCCCCCCGGTCTTTTTTAACTCGTCTGCCCAAAACTCTGCCCCAATATATAATAATTCACTTTCTCTTTTCTATCTTTTATCTGATATCTGGTGTTCTTTCTTCAATCTTGTATAAAATCTTTCACTGTCTAGGCTTTTTGTAGTCCTCATAATTTTGCTCTTTTCTATGCTCATTTGTAATTTCCTTCTGTCACATATCCTCCCAAATTCCTCCAACAACCTTTCCAATTTCTTTTCAAAATCTCCCATAAAAACTTGTTATCAGCAAAGAGCAACTGTGGCAACTCATATTTTGTATCAGACTCATTATTCACAATAATTAATAAATGATACAATATGTCTCACCCATACGTAAGTACTGTAATGTGAAAGTAGCCATAAACCTGCAAATAAGTGGAAGAATTTAAAAAATTATTTTTCTTTACCTACAGGTCCACAACCCTTTATCCGAAATTCTGAAATTCGAAAAGTTCCCAAAACCAAAGTTTTTCGTGGAGTGTGAAGCATCAGTCATCTCCATGCTGGGTCATGCCGCCACGTGGCGGCCTTGAGAATCGTTCTGAAATTCAAAAAAAGTCTGAAATTCGAAACAATACAGGCTCCATGGGTTTTGGATAAAGGGCTGTGCACCTGTAATTAGCCATCTTCTGCCAAGACTGGGTGACCCAAAAATGAAAAAATCACAAACATTCATTCAAAATTGTGATATCTACATCAGTTGTTTGACTCAGTCCTGACATTACTGTGGCAATCGGGGTGTGTATAAAACTGTTATACACAGATACAGTAAAATGGATTTAACAGACCCTGATTTAATGGTTTTTCAGTTTTAACAGACAAAATAATCTGTGGCTGGATAACATTTAGAAGCAACAGACAGTCTTGTTAAATCCAGAACAGTCCATTATTCTTATGTTCTACTGGGTAAATTGATTTCAGGTTTAATAGCCAAAGTCAGTTAACCAAAGTTGTCCCTTAATGTCATGGACAATTCTGGATTTAATGAACAAAATCCATTAAATCCAGAGCCGTTCATTATTAGCGTAGTAAGCTGGGTAAATGTATTTTCAGATTTAACTAAGTACATTATATGTAGAATTGTCCATTAATGTTATAATCTTAATTTAGATTTGACAGACAATTAACTTTAACAGACACCCCCTCTTCTCTGTTAATCTATTATATTGAGAGTTCTCTGTACTGTATTACACTAGTTCCTTATTTTGATATTGTAAGAGTAAGGAGTTCCAAGTTAGATTATTATATATGTACAGATGATCACAGTAATGCATCAAACCAATGGATCATACAATAATACCATACAGCACTTGAAAAAGTCACATATTAGAGGGGTAAAACTCCCACAGATCAAATTTGTTTGTAGTTTTACTGAGAAGGCAAGTGCTATAATCATTAGGCCTGGCCACAAATGGATACACCCCCCCCCTCACTAATGACATACTTGTTTTCCAACGACTCGGACATACGACTGACTGACCAGTTTGCATACCTAAAAAATGTATATTAGAGCTGATTTCCTCTATTCTGTTTATTACAATATACAGTACACTACTGTACAAAATCAAGTAGGGTAAATAAAAATATACTATTCATCTAAGTGAGACAAAATTCAAGTGTAATTCTGTGAGGGTTAAGACTGAAGAAAGGCGAACAATTATGGGGTTTTGGGGTATCATGCAAGGGGATGACCTGGCCCTGACTATACTGTACCGGAACAGTTTTTTCCTTCTGATACTCCCTTTTTGTCTAATCTTCGCCACTCAAACTTCATTTCTTAGAATTTTTTTTAGCCCGGGGTTTTTTTCTTTTACTTTTTCTAATTCCAATCAACACAGCAGCTTGCTTCTCAATCACCGCCCAAAAAAGAAAAAATCATCAAATGAGAAAAATAGACTACAGAATATTTTTTTTTTCACACCAGCCACTCCATGAGGCAGGGGGACCTGAAAAAGAAGAAACAAAGCTTTTCCCCTCTTTTCGTTTTTTAATTTCCCCAGGAGAAGGGGGTTTTCAGCCCCGCCCCCGGGATTTCAGTCACCACTTACGACACCATGGCTTAAGGGGAAGGACTTTTCCACTTCCCATTGAGATTACAGAATATATTGTTTTCCCAAAGAAACAGCAATGAGCCTTTGTGCTTCACAAGTTAACATTGTAGAACAAAGACAAGTCAAAATGGGTATGAGCTACAAAGGGGGTAAAAAGACCTATCTACTAAGTGAAATGTCTATTAAATAAAAGGGTTTTTTGTTTAAAATTTTTTTTAAGCAGCATATATAGTATAAGTACATTTTTAAATCTGAAAATTTTTGCAGCTTAAAATCCATTTTTAAATGTGGTTTTGATTCAGGTTTCTCACAATATCACCCTCCCATAATGACATTTGTTACCAAACGCCTTCCCAAACCCCTCCTTTTATTTCAATTTAAAAAATTTAAACTTTTTTTGGGGGGGCTTTAAAATGTAAAAAACAATCGTTTTTTTTTTCTTTTAAACTTTTTAAAAAAAATTATTTTTTTTTTATTATTTAAAATTTGAAAACAACTTAATTTTTGGAACCAGCAAGTAACATTTTTGGCTTTTAAATAATGACTTTACAGTCCCCCTCCGATCTCCCTTTTTTTAAAATCCAAAACCCCATTCTTCGTTTTTTACCGGTTTTTCATTTTACCCAAAAATTTCCCCACAAAAAAAAACTCCCCAAAATAAAACCAGAAAATGGGCCCAAAAATTTTTTTAAACCACCAGCCGACTCCTACAGGTATTTTAAAAAACCCAAATTTTTCTGAATTTTAAAAATAATCCCAGGGAAAGGGGCTTTAGCCCTTGGGAAAAAGGGTTTAAAAATTTAGGAAAAAAAAGGGGTTAAAGGGAAAAATTTAAAAATTCTTGAATCAAATTTTTAAAACCCCCAAAGCTTTGCAAGCTTCCTGGACTTTACAAGACTTTTAAAAACCCTTTAGACAAATTAAAGGGCAAGGTAAAGTTTTAAAATAAGTTTTGTGGAAATTATTAAGGGGGCCCTATTGTTAACCCCTTTTACTGTTTTGGGCCCCCCTAAATTCTTTTATTGTAATTTTTGAAAAAAAAAAATTTTTTTAGAAGTAAAATTTTTTGGGGAAAACCCCCAAATGAAATTTGGTAAAAACCTAAACTCCCCCAATTCTTTTCCTCGGCGCTTCAGGCGTTTGCCAAGAAATTTCACCATTTTTTTCCTTGAAAAATTTAACTATTTTTTTGGGAACCCATTTTTTTAAGTGAGTACAAAAACCCCCCCTTTTTTCAAACAAAAAAAAAGGGGGGTCAAAATTGGCAATTTTTTCCCCAAAATAAAAAACCAATTTCTTTTTTTGAATAAAAAAGCATGTACAAAAAAATTTTTTTTTTTTTTAATTTGTTTTTTTTTAAATTCCTATTTTGTTTTTTTTTCAACAAAAAAATAAAAATTTTTATTTTCGGGAACTGCAATTGAAAAAATGGAAAAAATCATGCACTATAAAGAATATTGACCCCGTTATTTTTTTACGGGGGTTTTATTTTGCTCAAAAATTTTAAAAAATCGCTTTCCCCTATTTTGATCGTTTTCCCGGGTTTTTCACAAAAGAAAAAAAAAATTCTCCTTTTTCTTAATTTTTCATTTATACCAAAAATGTCGAATACAAAAAAATACATAAAAACATAAAGCCTTTTTTCCAAAAAAAGGGGTGGGTTTTTTTTTTTAAATGGTGGGGTTTTTTTTTTAGGGGTGAACCCCCCCAAAGAATTTCCTCACAGGGGTCAAGCTTTTTTATTTTGAAGGTTGAAAAATTTAAATCAAAAAATTGGTTTAAGGTTTTATGCAAAAAAGTCAAAGGGTAAAAAAAAGGGGCTAAGGGAAAAAAAAAGGAATTTAAAACTAACCTTTGGAAGGGATTCCCCTAAAAACAAAATTTTGGGAATTCCCCCCTTTCCCCCCAACATAATCCCCAATTTTTTTTTTAAATCATTTTCCCCATTTTAATTAAAAAATGTCAGTTTCTTTTTTTGTGGCATTAATTTCATGTTTTCAGGGGGTTTAAAATTTTTTTTTAAAAACCTTTTTTTTTTTTTGGGTTAAATTTAAAATTTTTTATTTTTTTTGGGAAAATTAATTCCCCTTACGAAAATTTTCGGCTAAGAGCTCTCGGGAACGAAAAAGTCGTATCCCGGGGGGCCCACTGTACTTCCCCCCCAAACTCAAGCCAGCTTACTGGTTTCCTAAACCCCCTTCAAAAAAAATTTTTACTCTGCTTACACTCCACAGCTGTCAGGCCCCAAAAACCCATTTTCCCATTCACTCCTATCTGACATGCTCCCCATTCCTGTGCATGTCCGGGCCCTTTGCCCCAAAACCCCTCTTTTCCCCCCCGCCCATCCATCCTTTCCTAGGACAAACCCCTACCCCTCCCCCCCTTTCATTATTTTTTATACACCCCCCAAATCATCCTATTTTGCTCTATCCCTCAAATGACCAAAACCCCCCTCAAGACCCCCCCTTCACCTCTGAAAAAATACTTTTAGTAACTCCCCACCACCCCTAATTTCCCCACTACAAAATTTTTCCGCAAATATTACACCACACATTGCCCTTAGACACTCTCCCCTGCCTCCCCGCCCCCTTTCTCACTGCGAATTCACAACCAGCTTCAGCCCATCATTCCCTTTTTTGCCTCCCTGGATAACATTTTTTTTCCCAGATACCCAATTTCCCATTCACCCCTTTTTTTTTTAATCAATTCTATTTTTAAACCTTGGGCCTTCATAAACCCATCTGCGAATCTACTCCCAAATATCTGAACCTTCACTTTTTCCTACTCCCTCCCTTCAATGGATATCCCAATTTTTCTTTGCCAACAATTGATACCCTCATCACCTTATCTTATTTATGTTTCACTTTTTAAATTTCTTTCACCCCTCCCAAAACCCTCCCCTAACCTTGAACCCCTTTTAGAAAATTTCCCAAAAGCACGTATTTACAAAAAATTTTTGTCAACTCCCATTTTGTATTTGGCCTTTATAATTTTAAACCCATCCCCCTCCCCCAAAAACCCCCCGCATTACTTCTTTACAACCCCCTCTAAAAAATGTTAAACAACCGGGGGACTTTCCTCCCGTCTAAGGCCTACTTTACTGGAAAGGGAATCCCCTCTCCTACACACCCCAACCCACTGTTTTCCTCATAAAACCTATTCCTTTATAACTTAACCCATTCATACACTTTCAATATCCACATTGCTCCCCCTACCCCTATCATGCCTTTTTTTAAAACCATAAATGCAGTAAAAAATTCCTTACATTTTTCTAATATTATTTTTCAATCTTAATTTACTTTATAACCCCTTACTCTTGAAAAAAACTAAATCATTCCCCCCCCAAATTTTTTCCCTTCCAAACTGGCCTCTTAAAAATTTTTTTCTCTTTGCGGATTCATTTCAAATTTTTCTTTTAAGCACATTTCCTAATTTTTTGGTTTTTTCCAAAAAACGACAGACTACACTTGAGGGCTTAATAAAGGGTACAATCACTTAAAAATGACCAAGGAAAAGTTAAACCTTTAAATTTGAAGATAAAAGCTCAAATTTTTTGTACAGCCTCTCCCACTTAGCGACGCCCCCATTTACTGATGACCGGATGACAAAGGGGTCTCTGCCCTACATACCTAAATAGTGAATATATTAAGCGATTTCCTCTTTTTTTTATTGCAATAAGATACCTACTATATAAACATTTAACCTTAAACTGCCAAAATATATTGTATATGTTTCTTGCGCACACCCCAAAGTAAATACATTCATTTTTTTTTCATTCAACATTTGGGCCCATAGGCCCGAGTCGCCTAGACTGAAAATGGTGTCCCACTCAAAGTGGCCTATGAAAAAAATTTGGGGGGCCCCGGGTACCACTGCTCTTTTTTTTTTATAAAAAAAAAAAAAATTCTCAAATATTTGGGGCACTGCAAGGGGAACGATATTACGTTTGGACCTTTAAAGGGTTTTTAAAATTACTTAAAAAGTTATAAATGGGCAAAAGGTTAATTAAACAATTTCAAAAAATGGCTGACACAAACCCACTACCATTATAGCATGCTTCTCACTTACAAGAATTCGTTACCCGCCGTGGTTTTTTTGGGAAAGAAACTCCGTCATCAAGTGAGAGGCTAAATTTAAAACCCCGGAAAATATAACAGGTATTCCCCGGTAATGACTATCCATCTGAAAACATGATGTGGCAGCTCCCACTCCAACTGACAACATCCTTTATGACAATACCCCTTTCCCATAATATGTTTTCTTATGTCTGTATTTGTTCGATGATGTTCGTAACTGTTTATCTTTAAGAAAAAAAAGCCTCATAAAAATCTGGTGTCAAAGATACTGTGTAGATATATGATAAAGTACGTGCCTACACCTGAAGGGGGGGTGGGGGTGTTCCAGTTTTTGAGGGTCATCTGAAAACTGATTTGACACCCTTCGCAAATTTTAATTGTAACTGACAGTGAAAGTTTTTTTTCTTGTCAGGTGGGAGATGGCCGAGTTTTAAAAAAAAAAATATAGATACATGTATAATTTTTTTTAACTAAAACGCTGAAAAGCTAGACCATGTGAAAACCTGGGGTACATTAATGGGGAAATTTTTTGCCACACATGGCTTCATCTCCATACAAAGGAAAAAGGGTAAAGAACAGGGGGAGTTTTGAGGTAATCAGCGTCAGCCTTGAGTCTATGAAATCATCCACAACCTTGAAAACCATTCAACATTCCTGTCAGACACAGCAACACTTGGATCTTAATTACGGGGGTTTTTCACTTCCCAAAAACCTTTGGGCCTGACTTACTT